TTTAAAAATGATATCCAAGATTTGGAAATGGTAATGATATCACTTAATGATACTACAGTATTAACACACCAATCTTGTACCCACTTACTTAACTAAGAGAAATCCCTACTGACCTCAGGACTTACGTCTAAGTTGATACATACAGTATACATACAGTATTGCCCTCTGAGTGATATGTTGTTAAGCAAATTAGGATGAATTGTGTTTGGGCTTTTGCATTATGTGTTGATACTTTATAACAATTTCTGGAAACTTTTTTTGTGTGTGTGTGGAGGAGTCAGAACTAAGTCAGTGTAGTGCGTTCTTTAGAGCAGACATGAAACATGGTTAAAAAAAAATCCCACAGGAGAAGTGAGGAGCAGTGCAAACATTAGTTTCCTTGTGTTAAACGGATTCTTCTTCTAAATGGATCATATAAAATTACACTATGCATCTCTTTGTTGGATGTTGGATTGCAGTCAAATCTTGATGCTGTTTCATTCTTATGAAAGATAAGAACCTTCCCTATATATATATGTTTGACTGTTCATTTGGTGTTTCTCTGTGGTTCACTGTGAATGATCCCCATTATCTTCTTTCTACACCCAGAGTAATTCCAGCTGCTGAGTTCTCTCTTGATGGTAGGTATTTAAAATGTCACTACTAATTTCCAAGATACCAGCCCATGCTAGCTGTTCAAAATCTATGATGGCACCATCTTCTAAAATATAGCTCAGAATAAGCTTCTTTTGTAATAATAGGGCTGGTATGAAACTTACTCAGTCAAGAGCATGATTATTCCAAAATTATAGGGAACCAGCCTCTACCAGTAAATTATGAAAGCATTGGGCAGTATTGATAGTGAAGCACAAATGGCTTGTTTTTCTGCATTTCCCCAAACTGCCATGAAGTATTGTGCCTCATGGCCACTGAATGGGGTATCTAAGGTTTGGTCATCATTCTAAAGTTTTACTAGTATTTTGCTGTTCAATAGAGCAGAAATCAGAAGTAAACACCCCAGTTTTGACATCCACTCATCACTTTGGACAGAGTTTTGTTTTTAGTGTTTATTGTTACAGTGAGCAAGACAGATCACCTTTGCATTCTGAGCTTCAGTGTGGCTTCTTAGATTTAATTTCTACACACACTTGTTAGTACATCCTGTAGAGTTAAATAGGATATGAGTTTGACCAGTCTCTGTGTGAAATAAATGGTTGTGAGCATTGACAGGACTGGAAAGCCTATTGGCTTCACAATAAACTAGTGACAAATACATTCTGCTAGTTGCTACTTTTGTTTCATTCAGATGTGATCTGTGAAGTCTTCCCATCACCACCACCATCATTACCTGAGGATAAACCAGAAGCAAATCCAGGTAAATTGGAAATGAATAATCTATGAATTAAGCACAATTAGACAGTGTGCTGTCTGTCATAGGTTCCCAAATATTTCAAATTTTGGCACTTTTAATTGTTAAATACAATTCAACTGAGTAACATTTTCAAAATCATGTGTCAGAAACCCTAGTTACCACACTTTCTTGCTCTGGCTGTTGTGTTTGACCTATAGATATTTGACTTAGAATGTTGACTCCTGGTTATCTCTCTAAACAATCATCATAAATCACTTATAACTGGCACATAATGAAACTGAGTACCATGCAAGGGACTTTCCAGTGTTTGTCCAGGTTCGAGCAGTAGACTGTAGTCCTTTTGTTTGGTTGATTGGTTCTAAAAATTATACTAGATGGCTTCTTCAAGTTTCTGTCATAGAACTTACATCACAAAAACCATGTCCTTTGCTCAGAACTGAGGCTGTACATTCATATAAAAAGGGAGAACCTGAATACAGCCTCTGACCACATTTATTCTAACAATTGCATTCACAGGTAAAAACATATGGTCTGTGTAGTCACATATAGCCTTTGGCTGAACTTCATATGACAGACAGAGAGAATGAGACACAGAGAGTAATGGCAGGTGCAGAGATACGAGCCTACAATGCCACAAACCTACCCACCATAGCTCTCTCTTTATCTGGATACCATTGCCTATAGCCACTGAAAAGCCCCAGTCTAAGGTCCTTCACAGGAAAGAAATCTCTGCTCCATTTTAGATAACTCACCAGAACTTGGCCCATGGTCTAACACAGGGGTAGGCAACCTTTCCCCTTTAAGGGCCGAGGGACTTCAGCTTCCAGAAGCCTCAGCCATGTTGGCCAATAGTCCCATGTTGGCCAATAGCTCCTGGGATTCTGGGAGTTGAAGTCCCTTGGCCCTTAAAGGGGAAAGGTTGCCTACCCCTGGTCTAACAATTGACCATAATTTCCTTGTGCCGACCCTTTCATTAGGAGATTGTTGAGGCCAGTCCATAAAGAGAGGGAATTTGGCTTGGATTCCCAAAACAAAATATATGTGTTTCATTCTTTTATGTTCTGCTCATGAAGAAATTGAATAAATCTTGTGTGTGCACTTTTTTAATGGCCTTCCCCCCCCCTTTTATTTTTTTTTCCCCTAAAGGTGCTGCAAATAAGAAATAATAAACAAGATCTGTCTTGGATTCTCTCTCTTTCTCTCTAGAAACAAGAAGATACTAAATAGGAATTCTACAGGAACTCAATCTCCTCTCAAAAGTTTTCTATTAGGACTGGCATTTCTGAGGAGGAGATACAGGCAAAGACTCTTGGACTCACTATATGTTTGTTATTACCACCTTTATAGTAAAGAGCAACACAACAGAATGTGCCCATTTGCTAAGCAACAGTGATTTAGTTACTCTTTCCAATAATATGACTGCCCATTAAAAAAGGGAAATGATTCCAAAAAGAATCCAGCTGGACATTAATTGTAAAAGATGCCTAATGGAATTGTATACTGTCTCAGAGCAAGCAAACAAACACACACACACACAAACACACACACTGCTCTGTGTACCCATTTAGGTGAAGACAACATATAAACCTGCCACATGATGGGGTAGAGCCAGCATGGTGCGATGGTTTGAGTGCTGAAGTGTTTGAAGGCAAACAACAACAACAACAACATGATGGGAGATGTGCTGGTCAGGTGATGGCAGGATATGTTGAGAACTACATTCAGCACTGCTGGAAAGGATTGGGTTAAGAAAATCTCCAAAAGTCCTCTAATAGATTTTCCCCTGTTGATAATTTTTCTGACTGGTTTGGAAAATACTGGGACTAGTTTTGTTTTCCATACCCTGCTATTTCCATAAGTGTACTAATAATGGAACTGTGAGACACGGAACGATGCATATAAATAGCTATTCATAATCTTTTGTGCCAGGCTGTCAAAACATTTTCTTCAAAGGATTCCAAACTCTGGGCTAATATGTGTACAACTCCCCTTAAATTCTGTCTTGCCACCCTCTCTGTAAGCAGTTGTTTTACATCAAATGTTGCCATGTTAATTTGTTTGGCAGTGCAAACAGCGAAAAGTGCTGCTGGATGATTCTTTTTGCTTTCATTGTTCACATGAAACAAATCAAATAGAAGCCATTGCCTTGCAAACATAACTCCTGCCTAATTAAGTCCTCTGGTGATGGGAATAAAGTTTGAGGTGGCAATTAGCATAAAATTACGACTTTTGAAGGAGTAGATATATACTGCAGACCTACTGGATTCACATTCAATTGTCTGTAGCTTAAAATACACACTATTGATTACCTGTGCTGGCTTCCCATTTCTTTCAAGAGGACCCCACCACAAAGAGACTAATAGGCTGAGTTACTGCTCTCTTTCCTATAGAGGTTAGAGGGAACAGCTTTGTACTAGGACAACATTTGTAAAGTGTTCCGAATCCTTGTGCCCATTGTGATTCACTGGGTTAGTCATTCACATGTGAATTTTAGAAGAACATCTGCTGCTCTAGAGACTAGGGCAGTGATTCTCAAGCTCTGGTCCTCCAATTTTGGACCTCAGCTCCCAGAAGCCTCAGCCATCTAAGCCAGTGGTCTGGGATTCTGGGATCTGAAGTCCAAAACACCTGGAAGGTCAGAGTTTGGGAATCACTAGATAGGATATGGAGCAATGGATTCAAATTATAGGAAAAGAGATTCCACCTAAACATTAGGAAGAACTTCTTGACAGTAATAGCTATGTGACAGAGGAAGACACTGCCTCGGATAATGGTGGAGTCCCTTTCTTTGGAGGCTTTTAAACAGAGGCTGGATGGCCATCTGTCAGGGTGCTTTGATCATGTATTCCTGCAAGGCACAGAGTTGGACTAGATGACCCTGACTGGGGAACAGACTGGTTTCCTTGAAGGAACTCAAACCAGAGAAACACTGCTTGGACCTTATCTTTTTGGGCTTTGAAATATGTTCACTGAAAATGTATTGATGCAACACTTTTCTGGGCTGTAAACCACAGCACAATTCCCCAGAACAAAATTCCAAAGCTCTAAATAAACCTGTTATCTCCAATTACTTCTCAGAGATAGCATGGGGAGGGAGGAGCTGAAAGGCTGCTGAGTTTTTCTTTTCCTGAATTACAGAGCTGTGTGAAATGCGGCTTTAAAAGTACCACTGCATAGCATCTGAAGCATGCATTATGACAAGCAGCAAAGGTTCCCTGTGTCATATTGTGAGACTAACATCAGTGCTTAACTTGCAAAGTATGAGAGAGACTGAATCCACACCTGTAAGACTGAGAATGTTCACCATAGACAATTTCCAAAGGTCACATCTCCTTTCCTGGGATCTGAGAGGGCCACCTGACATCATGTGAAAGAAAGGAGATCCTAAATAGGGCAGTAATACCCCCAAGAACTAACACAAAATGAGCAGTGGGAGAAATGCAATAAAATGGCCAGACATGTCTCCTACAGGGACTAAAAAGATTCTAAGGTGTTGGGTATATATCAAAATATGGCGCATGTGGCACACCTTGCCTACTTTGTGGCTAGTTGCTTTTCTAGGTTTTATGTTGCCAGCAACCATAGAGCTAATGAAAATAAGAATCCAGTCAGAATAGTTCTGGGATTTAAACTTCTACTGAAAGTGAGAGCTGGTGTGACATAGTGGTTTGAGTGCTGGACTATGAGTCCAGAAACCAGGGTTCAGTTCCCCACTTGGCCATGAAACTCACTGGGTGACCGTGGGCAAGTCACACTCTCTCAGCCTCAGAGGAAGGCAATGATAAACTCTCTCTTAAGAAACTTGCCAAGAAAACCCCACAATAGGTTCACCTTAAGTCCTCCATAAGTCAGAAACGACTTGAAAGCCCACAGCACCAACAGCAATATCTAGTACGGTATATTTAAACAAAAACAACAAAAAAACTTTTAGGACTAATCCTCAATAAGATAATGGGATAAAGTTCCAAAGAAAGTCAGTCAACAGGAATAAAAGTATTCAGATTTTTACTGATTAAAACAGAATAAAAGATACAATGTGTGGGAGTTACATAAAAAGAAACAAAATGCAAGACAGAACAATTTGCTAACAAACAGAAGACCAGCAAGATTGCATATGGTGGCCAGTCTATGATTCAAAGCTCTTATGAATAAATCTTAGCAAGATTTTGGCTTTGTGCAAAATCACCTAAGCCTAGGGTCATGGAAGAGGACTTCTCCTTCCCCTCTTCTCCCCTGTGCCCTCCAAATCTGACCTGCAAGGTGCCTTGACCATCCAGAGCAGATTTAGGAGAGCAGGAGCCTGCAAGGATGGAGACGGGGGACATTTCTTCAGCGATGTCCATTCCACTGGCAGATAGACATCTCTTGTTGCACTTCTTTAAAAAGAAAAGATAAGACTGAAATCAGCAGCACATTCTAGAGAAGTTCTCCCAGGGATAAGAAAAGTGAGGAACTTGTGTCTTTGGGCCTTCAAGAGAAATTAGCTAATCATTCTACCAGCATTTTGCTTCACTTCCTGGAGAGTGCATCTTACAAAAGGAGCCAGGAGGAACACAATGTTTTTTTCTCTTAGAATTATGGTTTTGGTTCTTTGTAGTTAAATCACTTTAGTAGAAGCAACACAGCAAGCGTGTACTCCACAAGTATTTGGTACAAAATAACAAGATCTGAGCTTCTGGTAAATAAACAGGATACTTTAGTAGGTAAAAAGAAACTTTATTGTTATATCTAGGTTCTACAAAAATAACTCAGCAGAGAAAACTATTCTTTGGTACAGAGGTCCCTAGATAGCTGACCTCAATGTGTGCAAATAAGAAGGAAAACATCTTTAGGAGCAAAGTCTGGTTTCTGCTTCCATGCTTGGTAAGAGCAGAGAGGAAAGTGTGCTACCAAACAAAGAATCATAAAACTTTATTACCCCAGGAAGAAACCCCCAGGGAGAGGAGGGGTATGGGAAGTGATCGCTTCTCAGACACACTGACCAAATGACCACAGAGATATAAATCAGTATTTCTGCATAGAAGACACTGCCCCTTCTCAAAGGAATACATAGAACTACACATAGGCATTGATGCTAATATTCTGACATTTTCCATTTCCAAAGATAATATATGCCAAGCGAGAAAACACAGGAAGTTAGAGGTAAAATTATAGCCCATGAATCTCATTGTACCATGAACCAAACTATTGGTTTCTTGCACAACTTGTGCTTTCTTATCTCGTGCTGAAGACATATATTGGACTCTTGCCCAGACCTCCTGTTGCTAAGATAATGTACGTCACTGCGAAACTGGACACCTGCACACACAACTTACCTGATTCAGGCCAAGTTAGAAATCAATTTGGATGAAATGGGGAAATATAGGTCAGTGCAAATTTTTATGTATAATATCTCTAGTCTCCATACAGTAGATGCTTGAGCCAAGAGTGAGCATGTTCTTCTGTCTTGAATCTCCTCTTTTCTGGTATAATGTTTCTTCTGCTAGAGAGCATATTAGCCTGCCTTTAAAAAACAGTGTGTGATGGAGCAGCAGGACAATCTTCCTTGTTGAGAAGATATGCCTCCATTTTGAAATGCATAATGTGATGTTATACTGAATTAGGCCTGCAAGGAATGCTCCAGGTAGAGCTGTACTTTGAGCTGAGTCTGGCTGGTGATAAGTTAGAAAAAGAAGCACAGTGGCCAGGACAAACTTGGCAAGGTAAAGGAGTTCTAGGAATGGCCCTCCCAGCTTCTTTTTCATCTTCAAAGATTAACAGGGGTTGCAGACTGCCAGAAATAGTGCAAATTGAGTCCACTTTTAGGGTTAGGGTTAGTGCTAGGGAATCATGGGAATTGTTGTTGTTTTTTTTCCTAAGACATTGAGCCTTCTCTGTCAGAGAGCTCTGGTGCCACAACAAACTACAGTCCCCATGATTTCCTAACCCTAACCCTAACCCTAAAAGTGGACTCAATTTGCACTATTTCTGGCAGTCTGCAACCCCCCTAAGTCACAGATAACTCAATTTCAGAAGAGGACACTTTCCATCTCAGCTTCAGCCCACTGATCACAATCACCCTACCAAGCTAAGTGGCATCCCAGCTGCTCCCTTCTATACAACCAGTTACAAAACAGTGAGCATGATACCTCATGGCTCTCTCTGAGAACCAGTGTGGCATAAGGGGTTGGGCATTCATCTATGACTCTAGACCAGAGTTCAAATCCCCACTCAGCCATGGAAATGCCTTGAGAGAAGCTGGGTGAGTCACTCAGAGGAAGGCAATGGCAATTTTATTAAATGTGGAATTAGAAGACAAGACAGTAAAACATGTAATGATTAAATGGATGAAGAATGTGGGCCACACAGTTGGGTTCCATAACTGGGAAAACATATGGAGAAAAGTGGGGAAATATACATGCTGACAAGACTTGAGAGAAAACTTTTACAAAATGTATTTCCACTGGTACATCACATCAGTAAAAATGTCCAAAGTATATAAGAATGTCAACAATTTATGCTGGAAGCATAAAGAAAAACTGGGAACTTTTTATCACTGATGGTGGACATGTAGAAAAGCAAATAAAATAAAATAAAAATAAAAAATAAAATGAATGAAAGAATGAATGAATAAATAAATAAATAAAAATTGGAGAGGCATAAATGAAATAATGAATAAAATTCTGAATACAAAAATACAAGTAAAACCTGAATTTTATTTACTAAGTATGTTTGATACAGAAATTGAGAAAAAGTATGCTTCTACATGACCACGACAGCAAGAATATTATATGCTCAGAAATGGAAAATTGACACTATCCCTAG